GTTTTATATTACCCCAAATAAGTTTAACATATGCACGTCTGTGCCGGCAAGCGAAAGGAGGTATCGAATCTGTCTTTGCAAAGTGTATTTAAAAATCTATAGTTTTAGTTATATGTACTATATATGTATATTTACAAGTTTTTCATTTTTGTCTATAGTTTTTATTGAAATATGCTTTAGTGATTTTCTGGCAGCATTCTTTGTGCTTAGCCTAAAATTTAATTTTAATTTTAATTACAATTTCCTTTTTTTTTTTTAATTTTAACTCTTAACACAGTTAGAAGAGMATAAAACAATATTTTATTTTTACTAATTAATGCTTTTCCGAATAACACTTTAGGAAGCTGTGTGAAGGAGAAATGAAGTGGAGTTCAAAGTAGACTTTCAATTGAGAGTTTGACAATGAATGAACAATAAGTCATTATAAATATTAAATTAAAAAAAAATAATACACACACACTTATGTATTATTATGCTCTAAACATACAAACGACTTATTTTCGCATAAATGTATATATATAAAGGTAGTAAGCTTTATTTTATAAATATACCATATTTACCTTTTAAAATAACAACTTAAATTATTTCGCGCGGAGCGCTTAGGAAATGGACCGAATTTGAAACTTGATGCGTTATCTCACCAAGCGTCTCTTTATGTACACCTCCGAATAATATCAATTCACCGTGTCCCGCAACCATAGTAGAAAGTATCAACCTTTCCGGTGCTCCAGGTATAACACCATAATTCTTATACTCTACCCATTGCAAATGGGGATCATCCTTATCCATTGCCGCCGAGAGATCACAAACGAATAACGATAGGACGTTTCGTTTAATACGCTTAGGCGATGGCTCCTTGATAGCTTTAGGTTCGCCCACCATTGCACTACGTCTTGAATTTCTTAAAGCATTCATCTTTTCCTCCATTCGACGTATGCGCTCATTATGATCTTTTGAAACGCTACGAGGCCGGTTTTGCACATTAAACGCTGCCATTCGAAACGGATCCTGTAGGTAAAATATATWTTTTTTTATACCCTTATAGAGTTCAAAGAAAGCGTCAAAAATGTACATTTTATTAATACCAATGTTAATAATCAAAAATATTTTTTTTTTTGTTTTGAAATTATTCATACGTGGGTGTGCATATTCGTACTCACTTCATACAATTCGTCGAAACGTTTGGGCAATAATGGTTCGTTGTCCCTACAACGTAATGCTAAATTTCGCTGTAAACGGTGYGCTGCTTCAATGTCGTTCGAGTTGTTACCACCTGGAATAACCTCATTACCGTTTCTTGGCGAAGCGGTACCATTTGTACGAGAACTGGTTGAACTTGATGCTGATGGCGATGGCGACGGCGACGGTGCAGAAGCAGAATTTGAACAAGATGGACGGTTTTGGTTACACTCCTCTACAGCACTTGCGTTGGCAGGTGAATTTGCGTGCAAGTTACCAAGACGACCACGTCGTGGTTGTAGGTTGTTATGGCTACCATTTATATTATTATTGTATATATTATTAACTTGCTGTTGTTGATTTTGTTGCAGGATTGCACGTCGATTGGCAAAATATTGTTCGTCAGGTCCGCCTAAACGTGCATTGTCAAGTCTCTGCAGCTGTGGTTGTTGTCTTTGTATGGGTGGTTGAGGATTTGCCTGTACGGCTGCCATTTGTATGCCGCCACCCAATAGTCTTTGCCTATCAAAGATATTGTTTTGATTGTGTTGTTGTATTACACCATAACGAGGTGCTGGCATTTCCGCAGCTGCACCGCCTACGCCACCATCTCCTTGTGCACCACCACCTGGACGTCTGTATGCGCCAACAGGCACACGCATCTGTTTCATCATTTGGAAGTCTTGTGGCATATTTGGTGTAGGGCCAAGTACAACCAATTTAGAGCCAATTTTACAGGCAGGATTACACCACATATGCGTAGCTCCGTATTTTTTGTTGCGTATAGGTATGGCACGCCATAACCATAACTCTTGTGACATGTCCAAAAGCCAAGCATCTGAGTATACACTGTTGGGACCACCGCAACCACCAACAATCAACAGGTGATACTCATCCAATACCAATTGAAACTGCCCATAGCGTGGTGGAGGTTTTGTATTACCCATAAATCGAGGTTGCCACCATTTTAACTCGTTAAGATTCAAGCACCATGTTTCATTTGAGTTACTATTCACACCATCAGCAATTTGATAACCACCAAATATAACCATACGATCACCATGCACACTAGCAGAATGTCCTGCCATAGGAGGAGGACTCGACAAATTAATGCGTAATGTCCAACGATTAGTGTTCAAGTCATAAAAATGAAGTTCATCGAAGAGGCACCATGGTTGATATGGTGGATGCAAAGATGGGTATCGCCAACCGCCAAATAAGACCAATTGCTCTCCCCAGCAGACAATAGATGCGCTGCCTTTAGGTGATGGATAGGAACCCATTGACAACGGACGTTCCCAACTCATTTCGGACAAGTCGAAGCGCCACAAGTCATTGAATGTGGTATCAGAGGAGGACCCCCCTCCAAAAACATACATAGAATTTCCATGTTTTACAGCTGAGTGAGAAAATCGTCCAGCGATAACTGGTGGCGGAGAGGGGGGTATTGCTAAATTCTTTGTTATATTTTTACATTCTGCTACATTCGCAGCGGTCTGCTGTGAAAAAATTTCCCATCTTAATCGATAATCAATTAAACCTTTATGTAAGTTTAATTTCGAGCGCCGAATTAAATCTACAAAAAAAGCATAATTTGTTAAAAACCACAATGTAAATGTATACGAAGCACACATATATTTTACACTTACTTTTTACCACTGAATTCCAACGCTTACAAACGAGCCTGCAGCTTTCCAAATCTCTATAAGGTGGTAAATAGGTAAGTATGAACTCTAGTATCTCATCAGGTAAAGCATCTAGTTGGACCGAACGCAATTCGTCTCGAGTGCCATTCAATTCTGGCATTGAGTCATTATCCCTTTTCTTTTTGTGTTCGACAATGAAAGTGTCCTTGGTGACTAAATACATATCCTTCACTACGTCACTTTTTGTTGCTGCCATTAGCGTTTCATTTGAAGCCGCAACTTCATTGCCAACACCTTCCATAACCCGCCTTACCTTGGCGAAATTCCGAATAATGGTCCAGTGTTAGTTTTTTTTTTATTCGATTTTATATGATTGTATTACCTTTTTACATTAATTTGTGCGTCTATAACTTTTAGTAACCTCTCTCATGCCAATACAAATCCGATATTGTAAATTTAATATCCTTCAACACTTATTTTGTTATTTTTATACCATCAGCAACTCAGAAAATTTATAAACTCAAAAAGCTTGAAAGGGAATGAAAGTGTAAACCACAAAAAGACGAAAAAATCTTCACAAAATTTCACCACATTCTATAAGACATTTKATCGGTGCTGCCACTTTATTCAGTGCTTAATCCGTAAATAATCGGAAAATTACTTGGAATACGGCGTTTAAGAAAATCGATAAACTTTTTTGAAAGAAAGAAGTTGGAAAAAAAACATATTTGAATAAAGCAAATAAATAACTCTATCAATATCTAAAATATTACAATAAAATTTGGCTCAATTAATCTAGAATATTTTAGACGTTCCCTGATTAGCAAGTTTATGTAACGGATAGCAACCGGGACTTGAAACCGGCAATTTAGGGAATACTTTCCGGCGTTACAACAGTAACAGAAATGTTTAGCTTAATTTGGAACATATTTCCATTTTTGATATTTATTTTAATGCTTATTGTGCAAATTTCGGTTTCTCCAGARCACCTGCTGATTGACTGCCTAGCAATCTTCAGACGGAGTATAAAGGCCATTGGACTCATGTTTACAAATAGAGATCAAATCGCTCCATTAGCAGCTAGAAGTTATTGGAATTTTTCAATATGCTAGGTCTAAGGGTACGACTTCGGAGGGGGCACAATAGACTATGGGTCGCGGTGTAATCCTTCAACTTATATATATATGTATGTAGCATGCAAAAGGAAACGGACACACTAGAGTATAAATATATATGTATATATGTAAATGACATAGTCATGTCCGTCTGTATATACACGAACTAGTTTTAGAGCAATCGCTCTGAAGAGAGCAAACGTTCCTTCGTAAATTAATTGGTATACAAATTTAAGATGACATTATTACCTCTTCAATCTTCTAAGTCGATTTTTTCAGCTTACCGTACAGTTATTGACAATGCCAACTTTGGATGTCAATATGTAGAGTTTCACTATACTAGTTCAACTAACGGACCGGCGTAAAAAACTACTCTCTGAAATCTAATCGACACAAAATCCAAGTTATGTGTATATACATATACATTATTCTTTTTTTTAATTATTAAAAGCAATGACAGAACGTTGTAATTTATGTATCTCAATACAAAATTTTCTTGTTTTATACCCCACATCAAATACCTTAGTACAATGTTAAGTACATACAAATAAATGTACACACCCTTAAAATAATACAGTGAATATTTTGTAGCTCAAAAATTATTTTTGGGGATGCTGTTGAATGATAGATAACCTTGATGATTATAAATCAGTGTCCGCTCCAACGCCCAACCCGACTTTGAACGAGAAATATTGACATATTCAATTTTAAAAATTTCAATGGTAAGTTTTAATTAATTTATTTAACTTTCTACAATTATTTTTGTTCAATTTATCGAAATTATTTCAATAAGTAATATAGAATGCTGATTTAATAACACTACAAGTATGAGAACATTTAATAAATAGTAAAATTCAATTGTTTTCTGGTGCTTTAAATGCATTTTAACAGATACTCTTTACATATTTTACTACGACCAGAATTTCAGAATAATTATAATGGAATGAACTAATTTTGATGTTAGTTAAATTCAGTTATATAGATTTCTGAATATTTTTTGTATGTGAACTTACATTTACATTATCAATTGTGCAACATATCTTCATACTTGATTGATTCGAAAATTCTGATTTTTGATATTAAGTCTCTATGTGGTTTCTAATTGGTTTGAGTTAAAAGTGTTGTTTTACTATTTCTAGCTAGCATTTCTTAAGATGGTTATAAACATTCTTTACTTTGTTCTTACTTGTAATTAATAATCATAGCGTATTTAGTTAGTGGACCTGTTTACTCGACTTTTAATAATTCAACATCAAAAGTTAAAGTAGCATTTGGTGGAATAACTCCTGGGTGTCCCCGACTACCGTAGGCATAATCCGGCGAGCAGATGAGTTTAGCGCGCTGACCGACAGAAAGCTGGGCAACACCTTCATCCCAACCACGAATTACTTCACCTCTGCCAAGTGTAAATTTGAAAGGCTTATTGCGGTCACGAGAAGAATCGAACTTAGTGCCATTGTCTAATGTTCCAGTGTAATGCACAGACACCACCTGTCCAGTTTTAGGGAATGTACTACCTATTTAAGTATGTAATAAATATGTATGTATATGTGCAGCATTATTATTCACATAAAACAGGTTAGAATGATTAGAATTTTAGTATTTGCATTGCGCTTACCATCACCGGGAGAAATAGGTACTACTTGCACGCCCATTTTACTTATTAATTTTACTTTTTTTTTTTACAATGAGCTATATATTTACGTCTTTTAAAAACACTCAATCTGTGTCTAACAGCGGCGGTGAAAAAAATGAGAATGCGGAAAATTCTTGTAGAGAAATTACGGAAACCACCAATATGGCGTTCAATTACAATATTGCCAGACATAAGAAAATCAGTTATCTGCAACAGGGTGCAAATGTGCAAGACATTTTTTTTAAATAATTGGTGCACAATTATTTATAAAATTTAATTTCAAATTTTGCAAAAGATTGCTTCCTAATTGGAGTTGATAAAAAGCTATGTGTTGATAAGTGCATTCAGCTTGTGATACAACCGATTAATACAAAGAATTGAGCTACGATTAGGGCAATCTTTAAATTGGTTCCCAGTTGCTATTTTCTCTTTCCTAGACTCAAAAAGTGTTTAGCTGGAAAAAATATAATATTTCACTCAATTGAAAGGTGACGACAAAAAAATGAACCCATAGATTCACACTATGGAACCAGTAAGATAGTGTTGGAGAGTCGTTACAAMAAATATATTATATGATGAACAAAGTTGTCACGAAATTTGTAACAGCTAGATGGAAACTTTCGTGACTCTATAAAGTATATACATTAAGGCATGTCCGTCTGAGTATTTTTCTATATTTACAAAGTAATCACTAAGTTTTTGAACTATCGACACCGCAGGCCACAAGTTTTGGAAACGACTAGTGAAAACAGGATCGACACATGCCACCTCTACGTCGAGTTTAAAGCTGCTTTGACAGCATAAAGAGTAGCTGCTTTTATGCCGCTATGACTGAATTTGGTATCCCAGCAAAACCAATATGGCTGTGTAAACCAAGTACTTATACACATCTAGATGTGTATAAGAGACAGGTGGTATAGCACCCAACTATACTCGATTTAACGGTATAAAAATATGCTTCAAGAGTTGTAATAAGGGTACTCGCAGAGTAGATCTCGAAGCCGAGCAGAGCTCATTTTCCTAAATCTTTGCATTCCGCTCGGCTTAAGCGTACACAGGTATCATAAGTAATTATAAGTTACCACATCACAGTAGAAAATGATTCAGTCTTAAGTTGTTGGTTTGAATTTACATACATACACGCATATGCATTTATTATATTCATATTATATAAATAATCTAATTATAAAATCTTAGTAGTGGCTTCGATTTACTTGAAAGCGTATTTATTTATCATTAATTAATGGTACTGTATGGACAATTCTCTCAAATAGTATTAAACACAACATCTACAACGAGGTAAAAAAATACGGGTGTGCATTAACATATGAATGTGATTCAATTGCACAATTTTCTACAATAAGTGATGTCAATTATGTTCATAAAATACATTAATTTCTAACATTGTTTAACTAACATTATTTGAAAAACACATACATATGTACCTATGAAAATTAAGGGTTCACACTTCAGACTTTTTGAATGCGATCTCAACTCWTACTGGTCCAATATGTATATTTTTCCATTACAATTAAAATTACCCGAACTTTAATGTTTCACAATAAATTAAGAAAATATTTAATAAAGTCGTATTGATAATTCAGGAAATTAGTGTTGCGATTCGTACAAAAATTTGCTAAATTGATTTAAAACCACTAAATTTTGCACAATCGAAGATTTAACTATATGTTTTTATAATACAATTAACAATATTCAATTCGAAATTGAGTTGAGCAAACATTACTGACAAATTACATGAATTCATCTCACAAACAGGCGCGGAAGCGAAAAAAATGTTACAACAATAGTTGCGTTATAAAACTTCTTTGTACCGTTAAGTACATGATTGAATTAAATAAGGTTGTGTCGACAGCCTGAAAACAACAACTTGTTAAAAAAAAAATGTTAAAATTTTAACGCTTAACGTCAAAATCAGCTGTTTTACTTTGTTTTTATGAATCAAAGATATTTGAGGCTTCATAACTGATTCATGTTTAAGTATTTGGTATAATATAAATATTCTCCAGGTGTTGTTGATTTTCTTTGTCAGACGAATCAGGAGAACCGTAAGCAAATGTATATTGCTAACGAACGTGTGGCACTATTTACAACTACAACAATTTGGATTTCGCTCATTTTCGAATTCAATAACRCCAATACGTCGTCGATATGGCTTATGACCTGGTAACTCTAACGGTCTTCTCGAAGGCATATAAGGTAGCCGCATATTGAGTATTTTGACGTTGTACTTTTTCCGTTGCCTGCCATTCAAATACTCGTTTTCGCCTGGCGACCGAGAAGACGCATATGTTGCCTTACTTTGTATGCATATTAAATTCTTGTCGGTTTCGTTACTGTGCTCAAGTTTCGTATGAAGAGCCAATTTCTCTTCCGAGAGAAATTCACATTTACATTTATCACAGGTATRATTCAGCTGCTTTGTGTGATATATTAGATGTAAATCCAATTGATGTTGAAACATAAATTGTTCATTGCATTTGTAACAAATGTATCTGCCTCCATTCTGCCGGTCCAAATGGTAGTCCAAGAAAACTCTGAAATATAATTCGGTATCAATATTTTTTTGTATAGCTACGATGCTTGATGTTTATTTTTAAAATAAAAAATCAGCATTAAAAACGAGGAAAAATCTTAACTTCGGTTGCACTGAAGCTATAATACTCTTCATAGGTAGATTTCTTWTAGTATAAAAGGATATGAGAAAATTTTTATTTTGATTACTTTTACAGCGCCTCCGGCCTTTCYGAKTGCTGCAAACTTMGTGGCAAACTTAATATACCCTATTCATGTTATAAATATATTTTTGATTTGTTTGACACTTACTTGCTTGTAAAAACGCTGCCACATTTTTGACAGTAGAACCATGAGCTTTTAAAATGATGTACATAATCGTGTAGCATTAAATTCAATAGTGTATCGGTGAAAAAATCGCAGTCGTCTGTTAAGCATGTAAACTCCTGTGCTCTAATTTGCGCTTTCAGCCTATCCAACAGGTAAAGATCTACAAAGAAACATTTTCAAAATTGAAAATTGCATAAACTTAACGCTTATATAGTTACCATACACATTACATACCATATTCTTTTGCACTGCCAATTTGTATATTAGGCAGGTCGTAAACTATACTATCGTTGCGTCTCTCTAGCCAATCACCTGTATATACTCTACGCCTTGAATCCATTGAATCGGCAATGGAAACATCATCATCATCATCTATATCACTATCATCACTGTTATTGTTGCTATGCACATAGCGGGAGACACTGGTTAAAACAGTTAAACGGCGTTTTAAGGTTGGTTGGTTTTTAGGTTTTTCCACGACATCTGTACGAGCACGGCTTTGCGCACGTGTCAACCGACGGCTGGCGGTAGACTTTGCGATTGCGCGTTCGGATCTAACCACAGATTTCTTGTCATCATTTGCAGTATTTTCTTCGTCTTCACTATGCGTTTGTTCTTGCCACACTTCCTTTTCGGCCAAACAAACGATACGATGAAAGTCGTGTTCATATAATGTACTAAATTTTTGATAGCACATATCGCATTTGTATTCACGTAGATGTGTTGCACGGTGCTGTCTCAGGAGAGTGATACTATCCATCGTGGCTTGACACTCGGTGCAATGAAACTGACGTATACGTCTGGCACGATCCGTAGTGGTCGGGCTTACACTCTGGTTRACACTGTTCACTGGCTTTCGCTTGGCACTTACTTGTGGCACTGTTTGACTCTTGTCAAGTTTATTCGTAACATCGGCACTCAATAAGGCCGAACTTCGAGTATTTTGATAGTAACAGCGCCGTACATGTTTATTATAGTGATCTTTGCGCATAAAAGTGTTACCACAGTGACGACACACTCTGCGCGACTTTGCGCGTGGCGCATTTTTGTAATTGTTGATTTTTCCACCCGATTCTGTTATTAAAACCGATTCGGAACGTTCTCGGATAACCTGTAGCATTGATTGATTCATACCATTATGTGAATGTGTGGAATTTGAACACGATGTCGGCAAGTCAGGCACATTTGATAATGCTAATAATTCGATCCTTTCTGTGGATAAGAGTGAACTAGTAACMGCGGGATTATATTCCGTACCCTTGGCTTCCAATTGTTGTATTGACGTCGTTGTACCRGAAATCTCAGTCAATCTGTATTTTGTAAGTTGTACAGTATTTTTATTATCAACATCTTCCATGGAATTATCGAGCACCGTGTTGATACCAATGCATTTACTGAGTGTTGTGAATTGAAGATGATTAAAAGTTGGCGAATTTGTTGCAGGTGATGCTTCGAGGGTAGCCRCAGTAGGCAGGCGAGGAGTTGTTTCACGTAAACCATTGGTACGTGTTTTCTTTAAACGGCTTTCTTTATTATTTAGTCTGATATTGCCTTCTATATCAATATCTTCATTATAGTCAGAGATATCCAAATTTTCTTCTTTCTTCGTAGAACACTGGGACGTTTTTAATAGTTGACCATTTCCAAGCCCTTGCAAGCGCACTTTGATATTGTTCTGTACTTCTCTTACAGCTCTTGATTTAAATACACAAGTAATACAGAGTGATGATAAACATTCATCCAAATTCTATAAAATAGTTAAAAGAATTTTAATGATTCATTATTTTTATATATTTTGTACATGATAAATTCAACATAAGACATTTTTGTAGTGGATAGTGGAAAGTACGATTGCTCTCGTTTTTGCACGGTTAACTGGACAGTAAATTCATAGTGCAAAAATATCAGATTTTCGTATAATAATCACTATTAATTGTTATTGGAATAAATAACAAATTTATATTAACTATAAATATGCTTGCTATGACAATAACAATATAATTGTTAAATACTGATAGCAAACGCAGTTGGATTGTTAACAAATGCAATATCAAAACTCACCACACCATCGCCTTCACAGTAAGAGGCCATAGTCTTTTTCATTATCGGATTAGCTGATAAATCAACTATTTCCTGGCTATTCCCACAAATTATGCATAATTTTTTATTGTTTAAMGTTTGTTGTTGTTCTTCGGGCGCATCCTTTTCAATATGCGTAAATCGGCGCTTCTTCCGYCGTGTTGTTCCCTTTTTCCTCTTTGAGCCACCAGCTGATTTATTTCCTATGTTAAACACAAATTAGATGATATTGTTTATATTAATGTATGTACTATTTGATAAACATATCATCTAGGATAAGACATAATTCAATTATTTCTTACGATGAGTGTTTTGATTTTGGTCGCCACCACTAGGAAATTTGTATACATTAATAGAATTGTCGTCTGCTTCCATTGCATGCACTTTATTATTTTTCTGCATCATTATAGTTACGTATTCGGAACAAAATTAATTTTTCATGTATTCGTTAATTCAAAGAAAACACTAATTATCACTTTTTGTTAAAAAATATTAATATTGTGGCACTGTTTTGTTTTCTATTTTTAATTTTCCTTACATTTGTATTACAATTTATAGTTGGTATTTTTCGGTGTGTTTATTTAGAGTTGCCACTTATTTTTATTAAGATTTTATATAACTTTAACCTCGAAAAACTTTAACATTTAATGCTAATATTGCGCTTAAATTAATTTAAATTAATTTATTAATTTTTTTATTTCATAATTATTGGCATATTTGGGAAATTACGCAATTGAATAAATTTAAGTACACATGCAAGGAAAATAATTGAGGGAATTAAAACGAAAAAAAAAGATAATAATATTTGTTTCCCATCTTGCATTCGACATTTAAAGAAAACTTAAGTTATAATTTAGATCCATAATTATTTTATAATATATGCGTACCTTTCATTAAACTTATTATTTAAAATACAAAATAATTATGGATATTAATAATAATGCAATAAAAGGTTTTACTTATTTTTATTTAAGTTCAGCATGTAAAAAATATGATATTTATTATGTAAAAATGAAAGGTATCGTTTCTGTRAGCATTCTAAATGGTGTAGAATTTTCCTAAAAATTAGACAAAAATGGCAGTAATTTGGCCGACGCCAATTTTAAAGCCAATAACGCCAATTGTGAAAAAAACATTTTTGATGGATTTCGAAAAAGTGGTGGCGCTTATTTCAATGTGATGTCAAATAAATGTTAATACAGCGTTGGCTGATGTGACAGTAGGCATARAACCTTAATACAGGGTAGTTTAGAACGGTCAAATTTGATTTTTGCGTGTTTTGCGAGACTCGAACAGCTGTTAATATTTAAAAATGTTCAACATTAATTATTCAACCTAACTTTAAATTGATTATAAATATATGTATTTAGTATTATATTAAGTTCATATGGTACATACAACATACATACAACATTGAACATACTATTTGAAATATCGATTTGAAATTTAAGTATATTAGTTTTAAAGGTATAAATAATAGTGTTCAGTTTTCCGATAGGAACGATGAAGTGAGAGTGCAATACACCCTTGGAAAAAATAACTCAAAATTGATAGAACATACATACATACAGCTACTATAACGAGTCAAGTACCATTATGCGTTAAAAATAGCTGCGCTCTTTAACAACACTTGCGTAGCTGCAAATTCGAAGGAAGCAAAGAAAGAGTTCTACTCTTTCTCTGTGTGTTCCCAGATCTATCACAAATCAGATATCGAACGCCTGGAATCCATCAGATACCAACCTTGAATGTTATCTACAAARAGCATAGCGGAGATAAGTATAATACAAAGTTTCATTGAGGGCACCAAATGTTTGAATACAACAATGAAATGTGATATCAAAATATAAAGACTTACGGTAGCGTATCGAAATGGCAAAACTAGTGCTAATTGAGCCCGAAAGRTCTGCACTCTTATACGTAAATACGTAAATATATTATATTATTAGAAGGTTGAAGAGGGAGGAAGAATGACATCTAGATGTGTATAAGTCTGCACTCTTATACGTAAATACGTAAATATATTATATTATTAGAAGGTTGAAGAGGGAGGAAGAATGCATGAGTACGAAGAGCTTGACAAGCTGACCAAGAGAGGTAATGGTCGAAAATTCTTCGAAAAGTTGCATTCTGTTATGTTTTATGGCCAAAGCATATTTTTATAGAAACACCAGAGGTGATATAAAGACTGATAACAAGAGCATACTGTCATTATGGAGAGAACACTTCTAATGCCTGCTGAATGGCAATGAAAACTTAAAACCAAAAGATGGTAAACCCGACTTCCCAATCGATAACGATGGAGCGGAAGTTCCATTGGCCCACCACGAAAAAGTTCGAAGAGCTAATTACCCGTCTGAAGAATAACAAAGCGGCGGGGGCCCAGCTCAGCTTCTTTGTAGAATATGGTCGGACGAAAGYAGGAAAGAATACCCTCTCCTCGACATCGCAGATAAGGCTTTAGTGAGCGTATTGTGTGAAAAATCAAAGCTCATTGTCAACAAACTGAGGGACCTTATCGGTTTGGCTTCAGGCCTGAAAAATTAACAACTGATCTGGTCAGTTCACTTCGTCTGGTTCACCACTTTTGACAGTATGAAAAGGATTTTTTTGTATCCCCGCATAAACCTAATAAGGCTGTGTAAACTGACGTTGACGAATACCAAAGGTTTCGCGCGAATTGGAAAAGACCTCTTYGAAGCGTTCCATATCAAACGAGGTTGCAGACAAGACGATTCCCTATCGTGCAACTTCTTCAATCTATTCCTGGAGAAAATAATTCGAGCTGCAGATCTGAATAGAGAAGGTGCAATCTTCTACAAGAGTGTACAACTGAAGGCGTACGCCGAAGACATTGATATCATTGACCTCAACAACCGAACCGTTAGTTCTGCTTTCACCAGACTGGATAAAGAAGCGAAGAAAATGGGTTTRGTAGTGATCGAGGGTGAGACGATACATGTATCTCCTGTCATCAAACAGTCGTAGCATTCGCGACTAGACTCCCACGGTCAATATTTCGAACTAGTAGATAATATCTTCTATCTTGGAAGCAGTATTAACAGCAACAACAATGACAGCCTCGAAATCTAACGCAGACTACCTCTGCCAACAGGTGCTACTGCTACTGCGGACTAAGTAGGCAACTGAGAAGTAAAGTCCTCTCTCGACGATCAAAAACAAAACTCTAGAAGTCACTCATTATTCTTGTCCTTCTATATGGTGCAGAGGCATGGACGATGACAACACCTGATGAGTCGACGTTGCCAGTTTTAGGGAGAAAATTTCTGCGAAAGATTTATGGTCCTTTGCACGTTGGCCAGGGCGAATACCGCAGTCGATGAAATGATGAGCTGTTTGAGATATACGACGAAATTGACATAGTTCAGCGTATTAAGAGACAGCGACTACGCTGGCTAGGTCATGCCATCCGAACAGATGAAAATACTCCAGCTCTGAGAGTACTCGACGCAGTATCCACAGCAAGAAGCAGAGGAAGAGGAAGACCTCCACTCCGTTGGTATGACCAAGAAGGATCTGGCTTCGCTTGCATCTCCAATTGGCGACACCTTGCGAAAAGAAGAAAACACTGGCGTTCTGTTGTTAACTCAGCTATAACCGCGTAAGCGGTTTCTACGCCAGTAAAAAAGAAGTTCAAGGAGACAAAATTAACGTCTTATAAGCACATACATATGTATGTATATGTACATCTTTTAGAGATGAGGAAAGTTCTCTGATTGCCATTCACTTGGGAGTGGGCAGACACGATTCTTTTATATATATGTAGCTCAAGCAGCTAACGACTTCCGGTCTTAGATCAAATATCTTCCGGGTAGCACATCCGTTTGAATGCGAGCTAAAGTGAGAAGGCGAACCATCACTCCCCAGGGTTGTGAGCTGGGTTTATAAATAGTTCACCGAAAAAAATAATAATAATAAAAACATTAATATTTTTTAATAATTTTTTATTTTGTTGAATGTTTTTTTTTATTTGAAATTTGTGTGTTTTGTTTCTTTTGAAAGTTTCAGTCAAAAATTGTACTAAAATTATATTTTTTATTACGAAACATTACAAACTAAACTACCAAGTGCTTATACGAACTTCTTTTCAAGCAATGTAATATTACAATTAATGGAATTAACACTTTTCTTGAATACACAACACAAAAAATATTTTATAATAATAAAGGAAACATAGTAATAATAATAATAAAAGCAAACTTTGTTTTCTACAATAGTTTAAACTATTTGACGCACACTTGAAAAACACATACGAATTTGTATAAATTTGAAACTTAGCTTATGCTTTACGCAATTTACTATTTAAATTTAATTTATTTACACTTAGATTTATTAATTCCACTTATTTGAACTTTTGTTGAATGCTAACATCAAACCATTTTTTTTTAATTGCATTGCCCCCAGCACGTTTTCATGTGTTTTTATTAGTGCTAAATAAACTAAAACTCATAAAGTTCTAAAACTCTCGACGTCTTAAAACTCTTAAAGTCTTAAAGCACTTAAAGTCTTAAAACTCTTAAAATCCTAAAACTCCTATTATTATATTTAAAATTACAATTTATATTTTTATTACTGTTTTATTTAGTTTCTTTATACTTTGCATGTGTGTAGCCAGATTTGTGAAAGTTATTTTTTCAAGCATGAGAACTCTCTTATAACTTTTTTGTTGTTATATATATTGACTTTTGATTATTTATTTATGTGTTTTCTTTTTTATACAAACATATATTTTTTTTTTTACTTTTTTCTTTTATTTTATTTAGTTTTTTATTTGCTATTATTTACCGTTCAGTGTCAGTCTTATAAAATTGAACTTAGTTTGTGGCGAATACGGAAAATAATAAATATAAAAAATGCAATTACATAAAAAAATAATTATTATTTTTTAACTGTTAGGTACGACAACACCAACAGCTGTGTAGGCATGCGTGGGTGTCTGTTTTGAGGTAGCATTGTTTCAATTGTTATTGCTTGGTATGCAACTGCCACATACTTGAGCGATTTTTAAATATATATGTATATATGTACAATATACATATATATTATTTTTAAAGGTGTTAAGCCTAAATTAAAAGTATACAGCTAAATGGTGCTTTTTTGCTTTTAAGCTTAATTAGTAAACTGTGTTTAATTTTTACAAACAAATCACTGGCATATAAATGTAGTAAAGTTGTACAAATACATTTTAGTTTAGTTTTGAAAACTAATATTTTTTCGTTTTTGCAATTTTTCCAAAAAATAATTGAATTTTTTTGCAATTTTTTTTACAAAAACAAAACTCTTTTTTTCCAATTAAATAAAATTGAATTTGAATTTTTTT